AACAACGTTAGTCAATTCCAGCAATCCCTCCATGGGTATTAGTGGCATATACATGTAGATAGTATGCCCATCCATGAAACTAGTCACTGTAGTCATGGGGATGTGGGAAGGGACATAGACAATCGTCCATCCTTTGAGAGGTGCCGCTGTTGTAGACCCACTCGGTTAGCTTCCCGCGGTCCCCGAGCCGGCGGGCGGCGATCGCTGGGCTCGTCGAGGTCCGAGAAATGGGCACGCGTCGGGCCCCGGGACGGCCCTGCCCGCGGATGCGGCGCCAAAGACCCGGGCAGAGGGGAGAAAGAACGCGCCCGAGAGGCGAGTCGTTCCGCAGAGCCGCCACCCAGCCGACCGTGCACAGACCGGATTAGATGTTAGGCCTGCTGAATCTGAATTCTCTGCAAGATCAAGGCAAATCCTTCACTTAAGCTCCCTCTACCTCACCGCGAGAAACCACAGAAAGCACCCCTTTCTTCTGAAGTTTCCTTTTTCTTAAATTGCCGCTAGGGCATTTCAACCCTCCTGGCATCTGGACACTTGGCTTTGTTTGAGTCTATCGATGACTCTTGTCCTCCAAAACCCATCCACTCCCAGGTGAAAACAGCGAGCCCTGTTATCTTTGAGCACGTTGCTCTGGGCCCCCAGCTCCTACCTTTCTATACACTCCTTTTCATGGAAGGTGGAGCCGCCGCAGGATTTTGTTCTTTGACGACCCCCCCGTACCCCAAATTCTGAGGCCTCGTCTATAGGACTAACTAAAAAGTGTTAAATGCACTCTACTTTGGAGAGAATTTTTAAAAATTCCTTCCTGTTCGTGAAGACATGTGGATATACAACCAAACCAAACTAAAAAAACCTTTGTAAAAATAGATTTTATGAGAATTACAGGTCTCAGAAGATTTTTCATGAGATGAATGAATTAGGCTCAAACACTTAATTTTCCCTTCCCAAATCAAATTCAGTTCCTACCCTTGCCTGCCAGTTTCTAGAATGTGAAACTCTATCACCTTTTCAAAACCATATGATACAGCCCTTCCCAAATCACCAGATCCCTAAAAATGTGTTGAAAGCACAAAATCAAATTGAAGCATTCAATCTGTGTCTCAAAGAAGTAAAAAGCAAACCACAACCAAATCCTGCACTTGAAATCCTGGAAGATGAATGACTGGAATGTTCAGTCCAAGGGTTACAGATCAAAGCTTATTGTTATTATTTTTAATGACAGACTCCTAATGAAAGGTTTTGACACTTTAATTGCTCCACTTTCCAAACTGGATCCAAAAAATGACACAAACCAAGACAGAGCAAATCTTTTTTGCAAAGACTCCAAAAGGGATTGATCAATAAACTGTGAAAAGTTTCCTCAGAGAAGAGAGGTCAAGAAAGAACTACCCAGAATTCTGGGGCTAAGGGTCAGAGACTTAGAAATCCCCTCCAGGTTATCCTGTGAGTAGAGGTGCTTATTTATTTTCTGTGACTTTGAGAGCTACTCCCTATCTAATCCCTTTGGTATCTGTTCCTGTTCATTACACCACTTTCCTTTATCAAATATTCTCTCTGAAATCTCTTCATATTAGACTAACTAGACCCCTTATAAGATGAAAGAAAAGCATCTGACAATGAAAGTTAGATGTTGAAATGATTGTAAAAATTTAAAGTCAAAACCAAGAGCATTTCTTGTTCTTTTCAAAATGCATTTTCACACATAACAAAGGCAGTTGGTTTTCTGGATACTGATGTTGAAATATTCACCAAGCAATTAACTGGCACACTTCTGGAAGAAAAAAATAATAATAATAATAAACTTCACTTAGTGGTTAAGACCCAGGAATGTGAAATGACACTCCCTCTGGGAGCCAAATTTCCTTTTATTTTATATGTGTATCTCAATTTTAAAAAGCAATCATTGAGAAGAAATAGCTTGTATTAATCTAAATGCAATTAACGCAGAATCGTATCACAAGGAAATCAATCCCTGGTGGTTTTCTTCCCTCTTACTTCCTTTTTTTGTTTTTGTGAAATTAAAAATAAACAGATGTAAAAATCACAGAAGAGCACATTTTCTAACCACCCAAATCCAGGACCTGGAAGGAGAACTGACAGCACTTTGTTTCCACCCTAAAACTGTCACTGCTGAGAATTGCCACAGGGTCCTGCCGCCTACACAGAAGTGGCACACTAGGAGTTAAGTCCCTCACCAGTGGCCTGGCCTGGGGTTGGCTGCTTCTCCAACAGGAGGACACTTGCTGGTTACAACTCCCTCCTGAGAATTAGCCTCTATTACTATTGCAAATTAACTCTTTCTAAAAGACTTTCCTTGTACAAAGACAGGATCCATTACAGTCAAAGCAAACAGATCTGAAAGGGTAGTGACTTGATGGCTCCAAAAATTAAACTTTTTGAAACCCCATTAAATAGCTAAGTAATAATAATAATAATAATAACAATAGACATCCCACAGCTAGCATGAACATTTCTGAAAGGCAGGATAAGAGAAAGAGAGAGAGAGAGAAATATAAGCAGAAAGAAATCCCTGTAACAAAAATGAAAAATGAATCAAGATTCTTAATCATTAATTTCTCTCAGCATAAAAATGGAGATATTAAATATATTGCAAATAAAAAGGACTATTATTTACTTTCTTTTTTCCTTTGAACATAATGATGATGTTGATGACCCCTTGACAAAATAATTTTGGACTAATTATTTTGTGAACCTTGGAATAGGGGTGATTATGCTGAGCTTCAGCACTCTCTTTTTTTTTTTTTTGAGTTGGAGTCTCACTCTGTCACCTAGGCTGGAGTGCAGTGGCACACTTGCGGCCACCCCAGCCTTGATCCTCTGGGCTTCAGCAATCCTTCCGCCTCAGCCTTCCAAGTAACCAGAACTACAGGCGTGTGCTACCAAGCCCGGCTAATTTTATTTGTTTATTTATTGTAGAGACGAGGTCTCGCCCAGTTGCCTGCGCTGGTCTTGAACCCACGGGCTCGGGCTATCCACTTACCTCGGCCTCCCAAAGTGCTGGCATTATAGGCTGAGGCTCCGAGCCTGGCCTACAGTACTCTTCAAGGGTGAAAAGACCAGAGTAAATGGGTTGTTGAAGCTAAGAATGCAGACAGTGGTTTGGGAGCCAAGTGGTTTTCTGATTAAACCATGTCCTTGGCCTCACCAGCCACATCCTCCAACTCACTAAACCCAGAACCCAGAGAGTTACACATAATGATACAACAGGATGCTTCCTTCTATGTGAAAAGATAAAGGAACATACACATAGACTAAAACCCTCTCCACCATGGACTAAGAGAATTCTTTATTTCAGTGAAATAACATTTATGTTCATTCCAAGGAGGAAACCATATGTCATCATGTTTCAGTATTGCCAAATGACAAAATTACTGAGTAGCAAATCATTTCTGACTGTATCCACAATTTAAATATTCCAGACCATGCTTATCCCTGTCTGTGCCATGGCGACCAACCTAGGAAACCCCAGATCTTAACAGCAGGAACCTCGCCACAAAGACTGCAGATGAGCTTTGGGTGCCCTGTACCTATCACATGCTTTGGAAACCAAGACATTGCCAGAAACATGTTTTCATACGACCCAACTACATCCCCTCATCAACTTGTCATTATCCACATGTGCTTCAGGCTTTTTGTGGATTGTACTCTGTAAATTTAATTCTAATCTAGTTAGCCACTCTTGTCAACAAATCTATGGTTTTGGAAGGCCTCCTCCACCAACTGCAGTTGGTGTGTGCCAAGGGAACGCAAGCTAATTTTACCTAAGCTAAAGCAAAACATAATTAGGAAATTAAATCTGCTATGTAGGATGCAAGCCAAAGCAAAACATAAATAATCATCATAATCTCTCCCAGCCCCTTTAAATACCACCTTTTACCAGGAACTGTAGCTGGTTATTCAGTTGCTGAAGTGATACCCAAGATTTTATTGAAGGGTTCAAGGTGCATAAAGAAAATTGTTCCCCAGTCCAGTCACTCTAAGAACAGAAACAGGTTAATGCAGAACAACAAAGTGGTGTTGACTCCCTTCTATTGAATTTTTTTTTTTTTTTTTTTTTTACATTTTAAATAATTCTTTGTTCGTTTGGACTCTTACCTGCAGAAGTCATATACAGGAGTAAGTTTTAGCAGAAGGATACTTTAGTGCAAACCATTGCAGAAAAACAAATTTAACGAAAGAATCTGGCCCACACTGCTGCCCTTACCCACCTGAATTGGAAACGGATCTGAAAATTTCTGTTTATTCAGCCTCTTTAGCAACCTCACAAGCCTGCAGTACGTAGTTACTAGGCAACCACTAAAGCAGGGGTGTTTATAACATTAGGCATTAATTATAGCGGAGTTATGTTTTTCTTAGAAAGTTTAAAAACTATATAAATAGGTTGTGGGATCAGATCCTTTTCTCCTCTGATGAGAAGTGTGGAGCCAGCTAGAAAAACCACAGTTGAGGTTTTCCTTTCACTTTGGGGTATGTATTGTTCAATGCAAAAGGAAATGTAGTGTCTGATGAATTAATAAGGAAACAAAAGACAATGCCTTTTGATTTTAATAAATATGCAGGTGGCATTTATGATAGACGGAGTGAGCAGGAGAAAAACTATAAATGTAAAACTCTATCATGTAAATGTGTAAAATAAATCAATATATTAAACACTTCCTAGACAATTATCATCATTTGTCATAAACCAAATAAGTGGAGTTTCAAATACCTTTGAAATTTTTGAGACATAAATTTTGCCTTATACTGCCCCAAATCTCACTTGATGGCATTTTTTTGTCCATCAAGACTTTTAAAATTTATTCAGATCTGTTGTACTCATTTAAAATCACCTGGAATGTGATAATATTCTTTGAAAATAATACAAATATAGGAGTTATTCTATGAACCAATAAATACACATATACTTT